CAATGGTTAATCAGACAAAGGTCAGTGCCGGAGGAGAGGGCCGTGGCACGTTTCTCTCTGCCCTTTCTCTCGACGGAACTCAGGACTCCTGGCGAGAGAGGGGAGAGGGGCTGTGGTGGGACGGCGCAGGGGAGTGTGGCCGCACAGCAGGACTCCCTTCGGAAGAAAATGTCACTGGGACCTGCGGACGGCGGGCGGCGCGGGCTGGTCACGGCCAGAGGGTCATCTCTTTGAGTCTGTATGGCGACAACTCTGAGTACTGGGGTGGGCTCAAGTTCATCCTCGAAGCCTCCACGAAACTGTACCCCGGGTGGACTGTGCGCCTCCACACGGACCCGCGAGGCCACGAAGCCCGCCTGTGCCCGCTCCTTCGCCGCCACCCCCACCTTCACGTGTGCGACGTGCAGCGGCTCCCCGCGCTCGGCGACGTGCGAGACGTGAACCCGATGCTGTGGCGGGCGGCGCCCTTGGGAGACCCGCAGGTCGCCACGCTGACCGTCCGCGACGTGGATTCGGCGCTGCTGCCCCGCGACGCCGAGGCGGTGCAGGAGTGGCTGGCGCTCAACAAGACGTGGCACGTCATGAGGGACTTCGAGGGCCACGGGTTCCGCATCCTCGGCGGCCTCTGGGGCGCCCGGTCGTGGTCCCGCCGACACGCCGAGGAGCTGGCGAGGCTCAGGAGCGACCTCTTCGCGTGTGGAAGAGATCGACCGAGGGCCTGGGGCCAAGACCAGGTCATCCTTGCAGTGAGTCTCTCTCTCTCTCTGTATGTGTATGTGTGTCTTGGTGTAGGTGTGCATACATGGCATTACGCTAAATACCATTTCATTCGTATTCGTGGTTCAAGTAACATCACACACAATATTCACTCCCAAAATCATGAGGAGTAATAAAGGACAACCGACGTAGAGTAGATCAATGGTTCCTAACTCCATGGCCGCGACCCAGGATTTTTTTCTGGGCGTCACCGGAAGGTCTTAAAAGAAAAATTAAGGAATCCATGGTAGGATATGTCAGTAAACGTTAATGCTTTTTATTAACACTTGTTTATTGAAATTCAATGTGTTGGTAATATAAACATAAAAATACAGAACATCGTAAGCTAATATACATCTGCAAGTATAACGACCATGAAAATGGTTGGATATATTTCTACATATTCACACATTTAGGGTCGCTAGCCCAAACTAAGACTGTTTTAGGGTCGCACCAAAAAAGTTTGGGAAACACTGGTATAGTTCACTCAAGATCATTCGGACGAGGAGCATGCAGCACCAAAATCAACATAAATATGTACTTATGTGGACCTCATGTAACCGTTTAACACAGGAAATCCTTTGGCCGGCGATGCAGGGAGATCAAGTGGCTCACGACAGCTACTTCTGCCAGATGTTCCCCGAAACTCGACCCTTTCCAACGGAGAGACGCAGCGGGGAGTTCGTGGGGGCTATAAGGTAATCGAATCGCCTATCATCGCGTCTTATTTTATTTATCTGTTTATTTTGAGGGGGGTTGTATTGTGGATTTCTTATTTCGTTATTTCTGGTTTTTGTTTCTTGTAATGAGAGTTCGTGGGGGCTATAAGGTGTTTGAATCGCCTATTATCGCGTTTTATTTTTCTTTTGAGGGGGGTTGTATTGTGGATTTCTTATTTCGTTTATGATTTCGTTATTTCTGGTTTTTGTTTCTCGTAGTGAGAGTTCGTCTATCGAATCGCCTATCATCGGTTGTATTTTGTTATTTCGTTGATATTCTGGTTTTTGTTTCTCGTAGGAGAGTTCATGGGGTAGGTGATCGAATCGCCTATCATCGCGTTTTATTGAGGGGGGTTGTATTGTGGATTTGTTATTTCGTTTATGATTTCGTTATTTCTGGTTTTTGTTTCTTGTAGTGAGAGTTCGTGGTGGCTATAAGGTGATCGAACCCCCTTTTCCGTGTTATTATTATTATTTTTTTTTTTTGAGGGGTTTGTATTGTGGATTTGTTATTTCGTTTATGATTTCGTTATTTCTGGTTTTTGTTTCTTGTAGTGAGAGTTCGTGGGGGCTATAAGGTGATCGAGTCGCCTTTATTTCCGTAGCATGTTTTTTTTTTCTTTTTTTTGTATCGTGGACTTCTTGTTTCGTTTATGATTTCACTATTTCTGATTTTTGTTTCTTGTAGTGATTTAACGAATAGATCTTTGCCAGGATGGACATTAAATACTTATTTTGTGTGTCTGTTCATAGAAATTTAGAAGGATGTTATGTCAGTACAGTGTAATCGTTCTTTCTTCATAATATGAAATACGCTCGTCGAGAAACTATAACGTGAATGATAGATAAACTAATATTAATTTGATAATTCACCTTCACACTGATTTAAGGATGGTGATCCTACGTATATTTTCTTCTTTTCTCTCTTCCCCTCCTCCCTCTCTCTCTCTCTTCTCTCTATCTATCTATCTATCTATATGTCTCTCCCTCTCCCTTTCCACCCCTCTCTCTCTCTCTCTCTCTCT